GCTTGTTTGTCATTTCTCGGGCATGCTGTCTTGACCAAAAGGATATAAATAGCCGTTAGTTTGTTTACAGAGATGCTTGTGATTAATATTCCAAGTTCATCATCACACGTACAACTGACCTCAACGTCAACTGCTATGTCAGCTCAGCACTACAGATTGCGTAAATACGATATAAATATTGTTTCAAATGTAGATGATTTATTGTAACATTGCAATATTTTTATGGACAAATAAATGACGAAAGTATGTTTTTATTGTGAAAACTATATTTTAAAATTACAAATTTTGTTATATAAAAGTATATATATATGTAAGTACTATAAGACCTCGCAAATCAGACGATCTCAAAAACAGCCTATCCTGAAAATCAGGCGACTATAAAGAATAAAGAAAATACTAACATGGCAACGTAATCGTAATTCAAACTCATATTCTATAAAACTAGGACAAAATATGAAATATGAGCAGAGAATAAAAAAGATTTACATGGAGACTCCCAAGATACAAGGATAATAAGACCAGGTGTTCCGGCAAAGTAAGCGTTTTCTGCTTCATCAACGACACCCGCCATGTAAACCTTGATCAGTAAGTAATGTCACGTTCTCAAATGAGAGCAAGGTATACAACAACGGAACCAACAGGTAAATTAAAAAAACGTGCAGCTTCATGTCGCACATAGAAACAGAATATTTCATATATATTTGATATGAGACCACGATGGTGACCATTAAAACTTTCTCATAATGTTTATCAATCTACATCTTTTGAACCTTTGTGTTATGAGTTGTCAGTCAGCTGACGGCTAATAGGAACAGGTCCTTGAATATCGAATCAATTGTGGCATGCAAGTCATGGTTTGGAGATGCATGGTATTGCTATCCAGAAATGGAAAATTCACAATAGGGAAATTTGAATCATCACTTTTATCATACAGCTTGATAGAAAGCTGTTGGTTTCGTTGTAGTAAACGATCGAGATAAGCAACTGATGTAGAAGAGTCTGTCGTATCTTTGATTTCCTTTTGGTCAATAAATTTCTTGTTATTTAAAGACAAGACATCATAAATATATCTGAAGGTGAAATTAAATGTCTATTTTGATAAGCTCTTCAATAAATCCAGCCTCGATTGAAAACAAAAACAAGTCAGCCAACAGTGCGCAGTTGGAAAGCAAAGCAAGGTTATCATGAAAATCAGCCCATCTCAAAACAATCCTATCCTGAAAATCATCCTGTAGTTCTTTTCTAAATGAACCTGCATTTGCTTGCTATGAACGGAAATAACCCAGGTCATTTTTCCAAATTTGTAAGGTATTTTACTTATTATAAATCCAGACTTTGATTCATACATAATAAACTACTTAATTCTTAACATCCTGATACATAAATAGTCAGTTTTAATGACTGATTTTATTCATTGATCATATTACTATTTACATTAAGTATTTCGGTCGAAATTATTTTCCTGTTTGCATGTTTATTTTAATATTCAGTAGAATGTGAGAAATGTAACCGAATTGTAACTCTGATGTTAAATTCAAACACTCGCAAACTATTCAAAATCTGCCAGGTGTTCTTTCAAAATATACTCTAGGATTTCAACATCAAAATATGGATTAAACATGAAGCATCGTCAGTTCATAAATGGGATGGAAGGGTGCAAAGGGTAATTGGGGAATTCTGTAGATATGGTTTACCGCAGGCTTCAAATACCATCATCATCAGACAATTTACTTCAGTTTAATGTAATACTGTTCGCTAAATACTTCTTGTATAAATTGAAGCAATGTCAAAACAAGGGTAAATATGACGTCATTGTCGACGCGTTTTAGACTGTAATGTTAGTTCGCCACTGGAAAACCTCGCTGACCTTCCACGGGACATTCCGTAACAGGCTTATCCGGGTCATTAATGCATATGCCTTTAGCTTGGCAATTGAAATCCGAACCTAGTAACATATATCAACAATGATTTTGCTTTCTCTGTGACAAACATCCATACAAAAGTACAACTATGTACTAGGGCATTACCTCATTACATTAATACCTTATAGTGTGTTGAAAAAAACATACATTACTATCGACTTTCAGATTTAACAATAAAAACAAAAATCAGGAACAAAGTGCTCGCAAATTTTTGTATTTGTTATGCGATGCTTAGTTTTCATATTTTTCCTTTTTTGAAATATATAACACGTGCACGTTAAACACAATTAAATTATTCTGCATACTAATGACTCTGTTGACACATTTATTGTTTCGTTTTGCATTGCAGAAAGCCGTTATTGCAGACAACAGAGTATACAGGAGAGAAGTTGTTTTATACGGAGAGGCGAGGATCGTTAGCTAAGAGGGACCCATCTCGTCACTGGTGTGTATACAGGTGTACCGACTCAAAAACTAAGTGCTTCTTATACACACGTGGATGTCAGTTAAACTGATGTGCGTGGATATATCAGAAATATTCAATAATTGACAATTTCCTTATTCGTGATCTGATTGAGAAATATCGACAGCGGCAAACAGTGAGAATCTGTCACCTGTAACTTGTGCATGGTTGGTTTATTTGTTTCCCTGTGGATTACGTTCATATACAAAGTGAGAAGTCTTTTCCTACAAATACTTACTGGAGTTGTATTTTACCGTGTTGTCGTTTCCGGCATGTTGTTCGTCTGCTGAGGATATTAACAAGTTTATCAGGTGGAAAGTGTTTTCGTAAGCAGTTTCGAAAGGTATGATCAATATTCTGCTATAACATTAGAGGGAATCACCTGACAGGTTGATATTGATGAGGAAATCAGATAGGGTTCTAATGCCTGCTACACTGAAACAATAACTCCTGTCAGAATATATTGTAAAAATATTCTAATTCTTTGTTCGATATGAACCTGGACGTGTTTGATGCTCGTTAGTTTGTCTGAACTGATCAGATTGAATTGTTTTATTCCCTGATTTCTATTCATCCAGACATAAACTCTCCTTTTGATAACAAGCGACCTTCTCTTTATATTCTACTTCAGTCTATAGCATTGGTTCACGATAAACAACAATAAACAGCAATGAAGGAATTCGTATCCCGCAGGTATATTTTTTACTCCGTTTGTTTGCAGGTGTGTTAATTTTTTTCCATCTTTTCTGTTTGTACGGAGACTTCTGAAAAAGTACACGGAGACCAGGTGTTCAGGAAGAGGAAGCAATATCTCCTTCATCGTCGACATCTGCCGTGTAACTATTGGTAAATTCAAGTAAGTAATGTCACGTTCTATAACAATGGAACAAACGGTGTCAAAAATATACCTGCATGATACGAATTCCCTCATTGCTGTTCATACATTTTATCGTCGACCAATGCTATAGATCGAAATAGAATATAAAGGGGAAATGATGGAAGAAAACAACGATATCTTATCAGTTCAAAAGGCAAAAAAACGTCTCCAGGAACTACGAGGCAAAGGGGGAATAAACACAGACATTACAAAAAGCGTCTCCAGGAACTACGAGGCAAAAGAGGAATAAACACAGACAAAATAAAAAGCGTCTCCAGGAACTACGAGGCAAAAGAGGAACAAACACAGACAAAATAAAAAGCGTCTCCAGGAACCACGAGACAAAAGAGGAATAAACACAGACAATATAAAAAGCGTCTCCAGGAACCACGAGACAAAAGAGGAATAAACACAGACAAAATAAAAAGCGTCTCCAGGAACCACGAGGCAAAAGAGGAACAAACACAGACAAAATAAAAAGCGTCTCCAGGAACCACGAGGCAAAAGAGGAACAAACACAGACAAAATAAAAAGCGTCTCCAGGAACCACGAGGCAAAGGGGGAATAAACACAGACATTACAAAAAGCGTCTCCAGGAACCACGAGACAAAAGAGGAATAAACACAGACAATATAAAAAGCGTCTCCAGGAACTACGAGGCAAAAGAGGAATAAACATAGACAATATAAAAAGCGTCTCCAGGAACCACGAGACAAAAGAGGAATAAACACAGACAAAATAAAAAGCGTCTCCAGGAACTACGAGGCAAAAGAGGAATAAACATAGACAATATAAAAAGCGTCTCCAGGAACTACGAGGCAAAAGAGGAATAAACACAGACAATTCAATGAGACGGAAAATAAAAACGCAGACATGGGGTTCGATGGTTCTTTTCTAAATTCTAAGGTTTCAACATTTTAAGGGTTTAGAATCACAATACTGACGAATCCTAGAAGGACGAAAGAGCTGTTTTATACAGCCCGTTATTTGGCAGTACTTGATTTAATTTTATATCAAAAGCTGCTGATCATTTGGGTATCTATTGCACAATATTTAATAACAGCAATTTCCAAAGCGTTTTGTCTGCACTACACATGCATCTCATTATTTTTCTTTGAAAAGTTTCTCCTTTTTCTAGAATACATGTAGTTTTCATTATCATATACAATGTCACGGTACTTGAAAACTCTCACCGATTGGGTTGATGTAAGAATAGAAAATGATTTGAGATAAGACGAAATCTAAAAATCAATGGCATATTCTCGTCTAAGGCATCTAAAACAAAACTTCAACATTTGTGTTTTAGAAAAAGATTGCTAAAAATAGATACAAAAAGATAAAACAGCTTTCAAAACAAATTTAGAATTATCTACAGTAGAGTCGATAGTAACTGTATAATACGACCGTCTCGTGCTTCTACGTGTCTTCGGTGATTCTAATGGCATAAAGTTGAGGTGACTGAAAAAAATATATATTTTGACCGAAAGAAATGTCAAAGTGTAGATGGTGAGACGCACTGACCCCATAATGCACTTCGAATTTCCATAGATCTGATAGTATCAAAAGGAAACAACATATATCTTAATTGCGTTGAAGAGATGAAAATAAAAACATGTTAAGTGCAATCTATTGTATCTGGAATGTCTCACTGATATGTCATGTTGTTTTCAAAACTATTTACTGACATTGGAAAATCGTTTTGTAACAAGCGCCCTAACAATTTTCTAGAATCTCCGACATGGACAAGACCACTAACTCTAACAATGGATCATCTTGGAGTTTGACCTCGGTGTCCCCTCTGTTACAGCGACAGAAGCAGATGTCTGGGTCGACTGCATCACTGCCATCCGAGGATAAGGTGGACATTGCTACGAGAGACAAGAAAGGAAGAAATGCATTGTTCTATGCCGCTAGGAACGGTGATGTTCAACTCGCCAGGAAATACCTAGAGTCGGGAGGTGATGTTAATCGAGCCGATAATTTTGGAGTGTCCCCGTTACATGAAGCCACTGAAAGATCAAAGATTGATATCATAGAACTCCTTGTACAGTCTGGTAAGTATTTCTTATCATTCCTTATGTCATTCATACTGTATTCCTTTTTGTTTTATATTTAATGAAGTGACGGGGGGTCTCTCATCGATCTTTTTTTACAAATCCTTATCCAGTCTGATAAACACAAATTTCGCATTTAAAATAACTTAATGAGTATAAAATTTGCCAAGAAAAAAAGGTAAAACATAAGTAACCAAATAGAATAGCAGACCACGTGTTCCGTAGTTGTAATGACACTTGCCATGTAATCTTTGAGTCAAATTCGGGTATGTGACCTACTAAATTGAGAACTGGGTATGTAACAGTGCGACTAACAGGAATACTAACCGACATTGAACACATCACATCAAGAAAAGATATCCTCTAGAGATGATTTTGGCCTGAGTGTTGGTATAAATATATTGATTTAATTTCATAACACTGGGTTTGAAATAAGATTTAAATCATATTCCTTTAAAAAACAGGCCTTTCATAATCAGCTATGAATCCACTTTCTTTTTTTCACCATACACTTTACACATTATGTATTCAAAATGTTTTACTAAATGTACAGACGGTTTATCGTAATATCAGCGATATTTACAACAAAAGAAGAAGAAGCCGGCGGCATAGATATCTCCTGTGGTTTCCCGACAACTTAGTTTAGGCGAAAAACAAAGCTAGAATTACAGCTAGCCCCGATTCCTCAACGTGCGTCTCACCAAACTCAATATTTTTATAAACTGTGCTTCGTGTTCTGCGTCGTTTCTGAAATAAAGTTTACCTTACGTTTGTACACTTTTCTGTTCTTAGTCCTTTAAATGATCTCACTGAGAAATATTCTTTTTTATTCTGGTGATGCGATTTGAAGGCGGACGTGTTTCATGCTCGTTAGCATTGTACCGGTGTTGTGAACTTAGTTTTCGTTTCAAATTATAAATTAACTTAATGAGATTTTCATGACAGGTGTCGTTGATGAAGACCTTATACACCGGCTGCTATTATTTAAAGAAGTTCCTTAACACTTTATTTCTTTTGTTCATATTTTGTCTAATTTGAATTAGAGTTCAGATTCTGTTTACTTATTTATTTCTATGATAATTTTTTTAAGAGTAGGATCAAATTATCTTAACAGAACGATAAAAACTGTCTCAAAAATGTGTCGGCGTGAATCGTTCCTGAGGTTTCCCTTGTCCTATTCTGGTTATCTTTCTTTGTAATATTACCAAATCCAGTCACACATCCTTTCCGTTTTATTAAACTTGACCTTTAACCCATGAGAAATTACTTATCACAAATTCATTGACTTTGATTGACATTAATTATTGATGACGTCATCAACACGTTTTGTTGCATACTGGAATATGTTAGCTAAAGTAGCTGTAGAGATATCAATTATTTGGTAATGTATACATGATCTCGGTTCATACAGTATTGAACGCTGACGAATTTTACCTACATAAAGATATCTAGTTAGTACCAAGTACGAATGACATTAATGGACGTTCAGTCATCAACAATATGACATCCACATCAATTCCACGCCGGCGTTACCTTGTCTTACACATAAATACATAATATTTAACATATTCTAGGTGAGAAAAAATCAACAGATGTAGACTTGATTACTCATGTTTGGTTTCTCGGTGTTCATGAGAGCGAAGTCTTGATATGATTACATATATAACAATGTAATAATATATTGTTCCGTAAATCATTTTTATATTCAACATTCCTCAAGAAAAGATAAAAGAGTCGTGACATCGAAGACACTAGATTGACAGAAGTAAAAATAATAAAAAAAAAAGTTGTCAGCTTAAAAATGAAAAAAAATCTGAAAGTAAGAATGTATTGAACCCCTACACCCCTGTATTATGATATTTATCATTTCTTAAATAGTACTTTTTTAATATTAGATAATACCGGCCAGATAACCAAGTATTGATCGTGTTTTATTACACAAATTACAACATTCAAACCACAGTTTGTTGACGTTTATCGCTGATTAATTGAGTTGGTCTTGAATCAATTACTTTATATATTTTTTATTATACATTATATTAAAACAAAATCTTCTCATCTAGATCCAGCTTCACTTTAAATTACACGCATGTGAATATGACATCATTTTTTTTTTTTTTTTTTTTTTCAAAATTCATCTCTCCAGCAGCTTACATTTATTCTATGTTCTATATATAGACAAAACCTATTTTATATTCCATTGCCTGTTATGAACCTTGCTTGTATACATAAATAGTAGAACATATTGTCTCCGTTTTATGCACCATTTCGCTAAATGTTCATATTTTGTATGGTCCACTCCCCTCATTTTCTCCATAAATCATTTTAAATGTCGTATCTCATTTTTCTTCATACGTTTCCGTCATTACGCATTTGTCAAAGTAAAGGTACATACAATATTCCTATATACCAAAGGCTAACTAATTTTTGTGGTATATTTAGAAGTAAAATCAAGCGAAAGTGATTTTTCTAGGGATTTTCTTTTTTCACTATTTTTTGAGGGAAAAAAAGCAACAAAAAATATATATATAAATCTAAAATAAATTTGAGAAAGTAATCTATTGTCATTTTATTCAAATAAAATGCATGTTTTTGCATCAAGCATTCGATGAAACCACAAAAGTTTGAATCAAAAAGCATAAATAGTACAGTGTATGTGTATCTAAAATATAAAGAAGATACCGACATGGTGACAGAATCCTAATTCAACTAAAATATAGGAACAAAGAAATATGTTCACGTAGACCCCTGAAAAATGACAATGGGAATAAGACAATATGTTCTCTAAGGGTAAGCGTCTTCTTCTCCATCAGCAACACCTATCATGTAAATTTACGTCAAGCCAGGGTAGGATATAAAACTATGTACTACGAACATCATATGCTTATTAAAGCATGCATCAAGTTATGAAAACGTAAAGACGATGCAGGAATATTGTAACCCTTCTCATGGGTGATATGTTTACTCGTATTCAAATCGTAATCCGTATAATTGTTATACATGTGAACAAGACGACATATACACCAACATACATGGCACAATGCATTTGCGCTTGCCATTTTATACATCTTAAATAAAATTTACATAATTTTGACATAATTTATCTTCAAGTGTTATTACCTCGTTTAATTGCATGATTCATTCATGAAAACATGGTAATATTTATATATATAGGCCTACACATTTCGCAATGAACTGTATATTTAATTAATACGAGATGGTGAATAAAAATAAAGAAAAGTAGCGAGACTTCCAAAGACGAAGCAGTTGGACCTTAATCATGTTCCGCTCGTCTGCTGAAAGGCACCTGATGTAGTAACAGTTACCAATTTTGAGTATGCCTCACCTTAATTAAGCAAAAACAAATCGTGGTAAATCTTTCATCTTATATATTACTATCACGCTGCGATAACTCAATAGCATGACAAATGAAGTGTATCATTAATAATTACATTTAAAAAATTGAAATACATATCTCATGCATATACAATATTTACTATCTTCAACACTAAATATATTTAAACAGTCGCATGTCACAGAACTGTATTCAGAATTATCATGATAACATCACTTCGTCACAACAGAAATAGTGTTGTGTATTTTATACATCAAAACCATAATAATAATAAATGTAATACTGTTAGTGTTTATCGAGATTTCTACTGCTGTACAACCATTGTGTTACATGAAACCTCATAGGGAAAGGTTCCTGATACTTTTTTATCAGTTTGGAGTAAATGCCTGTCAATCTCAATTTATTTTGTGAGATCCCAAATTAGAGAGTTTTACTAAAGTTATGGCTGCATCCACAAATGGACAGGTGTATTTTCTCCCACCTCAGCCCATGTAGGATAGACATGTCCTATGTGGAACACCCATGGAGGATAAATCTATCCCACATGACTGCACTCGGTGACCTCAGTCGGCTATCACAACTTACTCAAACCGCCGAGTGGATGCTTTGCAGGCTCCGTAATGCGCGACTGTAACATCACAGTTAACATTAACTATAACAATCCTTGTCCAGTGAACACAAATAAACGTCGGAGGATCATCTATGACTCTGATTCTGAATGAACACACGCGTGACACTCGCACCATTGCAATTTTTCGCGCGCATAAACAATTGACGTCATTATAAACTGGGAAATCCCCTTTTTGTCCATGACATCGCGGCAAGCCTACCCTACCTTAATAAATGATACAGAGTTAAATGTTGTTCAATACAAGTATTTCCATGTATCTATCTCTAATTAAAATATTCAATTTCCACAAAATTAATATTTCTAATGGTTATTCATATTGCGTTTGTAGTCTGTCATTTTTGCTCTCGCGGAAGAATGTAGAATTTTGGAAACATGAATGGTGATATTCATGCGCCATTCAGACACTTGTACCGTGGGATTTTTTTTTTTTTTTTTTTACGTCGTGACAGAAATAATGGGGTGGGAGAAAAATAATCAACCCCTACCCTCAGAGGATGTGACAGAGAAATCTCCAACCCTCGGGGTGATTTTTTTGTAGTCTAACCCTCGGCAGAGCCTCGGGTTAGACAACAACAAAAATCAACCCTCGGGTTGGAGATTTCTCTATCACACCCTCAGGGTAGGGGAAGATTCTATTAATCTTGTGTGTGACACACGAGCCACATTGTAATTGTACAATTTATGACTATAGTACTGTTTTGACACATTGCCCGAGGCTCTTCTATTTACGATCTTGTTTCTGTCCGTTTTGGCAGATTGTAACCTGAACGTCAAGAATATTCTAGGTCAGACGCCATTAATGAGAGCTGTGCTATATGATGACCTGGAAGTAGTAAAAATACTCCACAAGGCAGGTGTGTATGACATGGATAATTTGTCATCACCAGAATTTTTTCAGATCTCAGAATCAAATAACCAGAAAATGTCTTCATGATAATTATGCATATTTTGACGAAAATATTAGATTTAATCTTATGATTTTTTGTGTCCATCAAGGTGCAGATCTGGATGAAAGGGATTGTACAGGAAAGACCGCACTTATGATTGGATTACAGGAAAGTCGTGAGGATGTCATATCGTATCTGTTGCACGCGGGCAGCAATGTTCACCTGCAAGACAAGCTTGGGCAAACAGCACTATATATAGCTATGAAGGAGGCCAAGAGAACATCTGATGAAAGTATCCGTAAGCTACTCAAGGCAGGATACGATTACAACAGAGATTCCCATTGGCTAAAGTCCTCTGAAATGGATGACCTGCAAAAGCTTGAACTGGAATCGCATCAACACTCTGGTATCCTGCACAAGATAGCGTCGAAGGTGAAGGGAAAACATCACCAACACAAAAACGAGTCGTCGGAACAGGATTAGTTGACTTGTGGCCTTGTTACTTAACATTCTACAAACTTGTTTAATATGACCGGTTGAATGTTGTATATACATGTAGAAAATCGCTCTCTCCGACAGACTCGTGTTGTCTTCACACGTGACGAAGCGTGTTATTGACAGAAACTTTTTTGTTGCTCTCCGCCATTGGCGCAAAGCATTATGGGAATTATGGAGATATTAATACTCAGTTGAAAGCATTTTATTAGTTGTTATCATTCACGCTGAATACAATACAAATAACATACAACACACTACAACGTATATTAACTAAAATGTTTCTTTTAAATAAATATGATTTAGGATTCTACGAAAAGATCTCTGCTTCAAAAACATACTTTGATACACAACCTAAAATACGATAAAGTTCCTATAACAAAACCAGCAGATTGTGACCAGGTATAAAACAACTGGCAGCCGAATCGACGGCTATACATTGTTACCATCTTGTGTATATCTTTTCTGCAATCTGTTTACCATCTCGTCAAACTGTTTCGATATTGGTGTAATAGGTCCCTTGCCACCTCGTTCACTACGTACGTCAGTGCTAATACATTCCACACTGATCATTTTTTTCTGATAAAGTTGACCGTGTAGTCATCGAAACGTCAGACTCTAATCCTCTACTAGTTGTGTTATAAGAAATTTTATTCTTTTAACATTGTCAACCTGAAGAAATTGTTTCGAAATACAAAACCAAACAGGTTACCACCCTGAGACGTAGACTTTTCAATCGGTTATCATTAGAATACTAATCTTGGTGTTCGGGTTAAGTAACAACTTCGTTGTTCATGTCCTATCATTTACAGTTTATCTAAGAATAAAGCTGTCCACTCTATTAGACATTTTCACAATATATATTTATATATACATACATACATTCTTTCTTTGTATTTTCTTTGTGTGTTTACTTAAGTTTGATGTAGATGAATAGCATGTCACTCATAGACAAATATCGTCCTATATTTTGGTATCGAAATAAGGTTTTCTTGCACTATTGAATAATATTGTTTTTCTTCAGCCTGTTGTCGTATTGCTGACTTTCAAGAATTTATCGTTTTTTTAACCATCACTCCGTGATTAATATCAAGTAAGTGTCCTGCTATTTCGCTTCGGTATCCTAGACAACCAGGTTTGACTTTACCATCATGATGATGAAAATGAAAAGCGATGATGACGTCATAGATCTGGCACAATCGCAGCTACACAAGTAACCTCCCCATCCAGCGAATTTAGCGCCTGTGGCAAATTGAAGAACAACACAAGTTAGCAAAAGTTCAGAGCCGGGAAACATATGACATGTCTGTACTGCCAGAAGTTATTTCATTATTTTCCTTTTAAGAAATTTAAATTTTAGAATTTTATGAAAATTACGAAATCTATTTCATTTTGGGCTACTGCTCCTCTCGATCAAGATTTTACATTTTTTCGATCACTTTGGATTTTTGTCAGTCGCCTCCTAAGCTTTTCAGTTTAGATACTTAGCATCACTTACGGATCCTAGAAGGACTAAACAGCTGTATGATGTAGCATCACTTACGGATCCTAGAAGGACTAAACAGCTGTATGATGTAGCATCACTTACGGATCCTAGAAGGACTAAACAGCTGTATGATGTAGCATCACTTACGGATCCTAGAAGGACTAAACAGCTGTATGATGTATCATCACTTACGGATCCTAGAAGGACAGAACAGCTGTATGATGTAACATCACTGACGAGTCCTAGAAGGACGAAACAGCTGTATGATGTAACATCACTTACGGATCCTAGAAGGACTAAACAGCTGTATGATGTAACATCACTTACGGATCCTAGAAGGACGAAACAGCTGTATGATGTAGCATCACTTACGGATCCTAGAAGGACTAAACAGCTGTATGATGTAACATCACTTACGGATCCTAGAAGGACTAAACAGCTGTATGATGTAACATCACTTACGGATCCTAGAAGGACTAAACAGCTGTATGATGTAACATCACTTACGGATCCTAGAAGGACTAAACAGCTGTATGATGTAGCATCACTGACGGATCCTAGAAGGACTAAACAGCTGTATGATGTAGCATCACTTACGGATCCTAGAAGGACTAAACAGCTGTATGATGTAGCATCACTTACGGATCCTAGAAGGACTAAACAGCTGTATGATGTAGCATCACTTACGGATCCTAGAAGGACTAAACAGCTGTATGATGTAGCATCACTTACGGATCCTAGAAGGACTAAACAGCTGTATGATGTAGCATCACTTACGGATCCAGCTGTATGATGTAACATCACTTACGGATCCTAGAAGGACTAAACAGCTGTATGATGTAGCATAAACAGCTGTATGATGTAGCATCACTTACGGATCCTAGAAGGACTAAACAGCTGTATGATGTAGCATCACTTACGGATCCTAGAAGGACTAAACAGCTGTATGATGTAGCATCACTTACGGATCCTAGAAGGACTAAACAGCACTGTATGATGTAGCATCACTTACGGATCCTAGAAGGACTAAACAGCTGTATGATGTAGCATCACTTACGGATCAGCTGTATGATGTAACTTACGGGAAGGACTAAACAGCTGTATGAACAGCTGTATGATGTAGCATCACTTACGGATCCTAGAAGGACTAAACAGCTGTATGATGTAACATCACTTACGGATCCTAGAAGGACGAAACAGCTCTATTGGTGTAACATCACTTACGGATCCTAGAAGGACGAAACAGCTGCATGATGTATCATCACTTACGGATCCTAGAAGGACTAAACAGCTGTATGATGTAACATCACTTACGGATCCTAGAAGGACTAAACAGCTGTATGATGTAACATCACTTACGGATCCTAGAAGGACTAAACAGCTGTATGATGTAACATCACTTACGGATCCTAGAAGGACTAAACAGCTGTATGATGTAACATCACTTACGGATCCTAGAAGGACTAAACAGCTGTATGATGTAACATCACTTACGCGTCCTAGAAGGACTAAACAGTTGTATTGGTGTAACATCACTGACGAGTCCTAGAAGGACGAAACAGCTGTATGATGTAACATCACTTACGCGTCCTAGAAGGACTAAACAGTTGTATTGGTGTAACATCACTGACGAGTCCTAGAAGGACGAAACAATTGTATGATGTAACATCACTGACGAGTCCTAGAAGGACGAAACAGCTGCATGATGTAACATCACTGACGAGTCCTAGAAGGACGAAACAGCTGCATGATGTAACATCACTTACGCGTCCTAGAAGGACTAAACAGTTGTATTGGTGTAACATCACTGACGAGTCCTAGAAGGACGAAACAGCTGTATGATGTAACATCACTGACGAGTCCTAGTAGGACGAAACAGCTGTATGATGTAACATCACTAACGAGACCTAGATGGACGAAACAACTGTGCGATGTAACATCACTGACGAGTCGTAGATGGACGAAACAGCTGTATGATGTAGCATCACTGACGAGTCCTAGGAGGACGAAACAGCTGTATGATGTAGCATCATTGACGAGTCTTAGGACGTAATAGATTTATGATATAGTTTAACGCATGGTTTGGCTCTACTGTATCCAATCCTAAAAGTTTGCCTTTAAAACAATCCATGCAATTATAAATTCATTATCAATTCAGATACACACAAATTAAGATTATTTTTAATAAAAGATATGAAAAACAGTGAAATAAATTTAACCGATTTTCCTCATTTATAGTGATATTTACAATACTCACTTGTCTCTGGTTCACAGTTAGGGGAAGTTCGAATCTGTGTGTCGATCACAGTACCAGAAAAACACCCAAAAAGATACGAGAAGTCAACAGTTGCAACATACCGGTAGTATCAAGTGAGTCCATGACAGTCGTCAGAGGTATTAAGCCACGTGAAACTGTAGCCAATCAATGTATCATAACGGTGGGTGCATTATTCTGTTTAAACCAAATTATACCTTAAATGGATGATGAGATGAAAAAAATATTAGAATCAATAATCAGTAAGGAGAAGGCGTTCATTCCTTCTGAATCCTTGGTCTTATGTTCCGTGTACTTGTCCATGGGTCTTCATGCAAATATTTCTTTTGTTTATATTTTGCTTTAGTTTTCTTGAATTGGATAATGATTATGTTGACATGTTGGTTTTCTTGTTTTTGTTGTTTTTCGGGAAAATTATGGGTTTTGAACGCTGATCAGTGATACAAGTGAAGCAGCGAACGCAAGGATTTGGATGTAAATGATGTCATCTGTAGGAACTAAAACCAAATCGTGGTAATTAGCATCAAATAATGTTATCTGTAGGAACTAAAATCATAGCGTGGTAATTAGCATCAAATAATGTTATCTGTAGGAACTAAAATCATAGCGTGGTAATTAGCATGAAATAATGTTATCTGAAGGAACTAAAATCATAGCGTGGTAATTAGCATCAAATAATGTTATCTGTAGGAACTAAAATCATAGCGTGGTAATTAGCATCAAATAATGTTATCTGTAGGAACTAAAATCATAGCGTGGTAATTAGCATCAAATAATGTTATCTGTAGGAACTAAAATCATAGCGTGGTAATTAGTATCAAATAATGTTATCTGTAGGAACTAAAATCATAGCGTGGTAATTAGCATCAAATAATGTTATCTGTAGGAACTAAAATCATAGCGTGGTAATTAGCATCAAATAATGTTATCTGTAGAAGCTAAAATCTTAGCGTGGTAATTAGCATCAAATAATGTTATCTGTAGAAGCTAAAATCATAGCGTGGTAATTAGCATCAAATAATGTTAGCTGTAGAAGCTAAAATCATAGCGTGGTAATTAGCATCAAATAATGTTATCTGTAGGAACTAAAATCATAGCGTGGTAATTAGCATCAAATAATGTTATCTGTAGAAGCTAAAATCATAGCGTGGTAATTAGCATCAAATAATGTTATCTGTAGGAACTAAAATCATAGCGTGGTAATTAGCATCAAATAATGTTATCTGT